ATGTTTACGCTCACTGCATAAAATAATTTATTCCATGATGTTGGCTTCGGGTAAACTCATTTTTCACTTTGCAAGCACATAATGCATGCAAGATGACAGAAAATGGTTAATAATGAAGAGATGGGGAGGGTGTGTATTAGCATGTCTCCATAACCATGTTTTGAATGATTGTTAATAAAATGCATTTTAGGACACATTTACATAAATTTGCCCTTTTAGCAGATGCTTTCAATTATTTAAAATGTAAAGATTGGAGGAATACAAAATAATGATAAGAAGAACAATAATAATAATAATAATAATAATAACAATAATAATAATAATAACAATAATAATAATAAAAACACCACAAGGAGATAGAATTGCTTTGAAGTGCTTTGATGGATAGAAAATGTTCAATAGACACTATGCAGTACAATAAACTATGCAATACACTACTCACATGTGTACTACATGAGCAGGAGTGCAATCACACAACTTTGAGTGTGATACTGCTTTTATGCAACTGTATGACAGAACAAGTATATAAATAAATAAGGATAATCCAAAGAGAGTCTAAAAAAAACTATTGTTTGTGAAACCACCTTTTTTCACCACAGATTTAAAAAACATTGATATTTAAACAGTAGAAAGCCTCTGTTACTAATTCTGAAATGCCACTTTATAATTACCAACGATGGCTTGGGCTGCGCTTCAGTATTTTAAGTGTGAAAATAATATTATCTGGGTCTGATTGAGTTTTCATTCTTTGCCATGTTCACTGAGGAAAGCAATATCTTTGTCATAGTATCCTTTCAATGACTAAGGTGATTTCACATGATTGGTATCTGCACTGGCCAATTCTCAATGAAGTAAAGCATCAGTTTGGGTCCTGTTGACTGGTTCCCGATGTTTAATTACTGAATGAATCAGTGTTGTTGAGTGACTTTGTTGAATGATCTGCTGACTTACCCATAAATACAGTCACTTGGTACCACCCACTGGTTCACTCAATGACTCGAGACTGGACTGGACTTGCACAAACTCGACAATGAAGTCCTCATTTCAATGCATTTAACCCATCCAAGTGCACACACACAACATTGAGTAGTGAACACTCACTGTTGTGGGCAGCCAATTTTGCTGCAGCATCTGGGGAGCAATTGGGGGTTAGATGCCTCAGTCATGTGTATTAAAAGTGGAAGAGAGTGCTGTTCATTCACTCCCCCCATCTACATTTCATGCAGTGTGCAATGTGAGAACAATTAAGAACATCCCGTGGTAACTAGGATTTACACAAGCTTCATTCTGGATCCAGAACACCTGAGAAGAGATGATGCCAACCCCTCAGAGGACCTCAGATGATGCCAACCCTGAAACAACATACAGAACTACCACATTTTGCTATAAGTTTGATTGCATCATATAATAATTGCTGTTAAATTATTAAAAACTTGCCCAACTCAGTCCGAGCAGTCCTTAGCCATCTTCAAGAATCGGCTAAAAACACATCTCTTCCATCTTTATTTGACCCTCTAGCATAGCAGTGATATGAAAAGCCATGTTTCTGAATGACAGAACCTAGTGATGCCATGTAGACATTGAAGAAAAGTGGTCCAAGAACTGAGCCCTGAGGCACCCCAGTAGCTAGATGTTGCAACTTGGACACCTCACCTCTCCAAGATGCCTTGAAGGACCTGACTAGAAGTAGACTGCTATTTTGAGGAGACAGCAGATTCAATTGAACTCAGACCACCTCCTTCAGGTAGTTTTGGGTTCGGTACCTCAGTGCGCTCCCACTTTCGCACCCACGTTCGCATGACAGCTTTCACACTAGCCAAACATACCGAACTCTGACATCAATCGAACCCGGGTGCGCACCAAACGTGCTAGTGTTAGAGACTTTAAGACATGCAAAATGTGTACTGTGTACTTGCCTGGTTAATGTTTCCAGGTATCGAGTCACAAGAATAAAAAGAGGTAGTAGAGGCAGTACATGGAAAACTGATCAAATGCCAATAAGCTGAAAAAAATCTTCAGCTCACTAACCTTAGGTCCTGCCTGATGTGAATGGCATTAGTGTTCTGAATGATTATGTGAGTTTCTGTATAGTGAGAAAAGAAAGGGCCATGCACTGATCCTTGAGGTACCCCATGGATAGCTGACGTGATCTCCTCTTCTCCACGATAGGTTGGACTCAAACCTACCTAAAAGTGTGGTTCCTGTAATGTTGAGTTTACGGTCAGTGTATACAGGAGGGTCTGGTGTTTCAAAGACATCAGGTCTTGCACATTAAGAATGAATGTTTTGGAGACAGGACACTTGGATAGCTTTGAATTTACCCAATTTCTAACCAAACTTTCGACTATTAAATGTTTTTGAGGTGAAAACTAGTACTACCACCTTTGGCTGCTTTCTATTCTCTACAAGAATGCAGGGAGCTGGCTTAGCCCCTGTTGAGGAAATTACGCAATTGTCCTATTGCAAGTGTGTCTTTTCTTTTTATGTAATGATTTTGTATTGTAACCAAATACACTTGTTGTTTTAATTGTTTTATTGAGAAAATGGTCTATTAAGTAAAAAGACCACACTTGTTGTTTGAAGCATTTATTAGAAAAGTATAGACAGAGAAAAACATGTATTAGTAAGAGCTTTACTAAAAAGGAAAAAGGAGGGAAAAAAGGAGGCAGGTGTTGTGTTGCAGACAAAGCGCAGAAGGCAGCATAGGAGAAGAATCCGAAGAAGAATGAGAAGATGGAAGGCCTTATATATACAAATCCTGAGGGGATTCCGGGAGCTTATGATGTCACAAGACATTGCAATTGACAGGCTGTTTATAAGAGACTGAAATGCAATGATTACATCAGATGCTGATTCTTTGGAACAGCTTCTCCAGTGCCAGATGCCTTGCTGTTAATGCCTTTGACAATCAAAGCTTGCAAACGATTTGCTTTTGTTTTTATTTTTGTTTTTTATATTAGTATTCTGTATGTAAAGTATTTAACCTGTAGACAATAAAACTCTACTTAAAACCAAGAAGTTCACCTGCCAGAACAGACTTGAGCAGAACAGACCACGGAGAAGTCTTCTGTGACCTGTTTTGTAAGTATGAAAACTTAGATGCTTATGATATAGGACAGATTTGACTTACTTTACTTAACCTGAGAAAAATTAAAATAAGGTAGAAGGTGTACAAAATTTAGTACGATAAAACACCCCGCAGGCAAGGATTGTTGGGGAAACCAGAGCACCCAAAAATTTGATACAGCTTTGCATCTCCTCTTCCTCCAGACACAGGGAGAACATGCAACTCCACACAGAAAAGTTTTCTAGCTCAGGTGGTACCCGAACCAGGGACTTTCTTGCTGAAAGACGACAGTGCTACCCACTGAGCCACCGTGCCATGCCAATTCTTGCACTTGTTAAAATTACAAATGACTTGCTTTTTGCGTCAGACCAAGGCTGCATCTCATTGCTAGTTTTACTTGATCTTAGTGCTGTGTTCAACACCATAGATGATGACATACTCATAGATCGATTACAAAACTATATGGGTATTCAAAGATGGTTTAGATCCTACCTGTCCGATCGCTACCACTTTGTTTATTTAAACGGGGAGTCATCTCAATTATCACCAGCAAAATATGGAGTGCCACAAGGATCTGTCCTAGGTCCTCTGCTATTTTCGATATACATGTTGCCCCTTGGTAATATTATTAGAAAATACGGGATTAGTTTCCACTGTTATGCTGATGATACTCAACTATATATCTCAACAAGACCAGATGAAACTTCTAAATTATCTAAGCTAACAGAGTGTGTTAAAAATGTAAAAGATTGGATGACCAATAATTTTCTCCTATTAAATTCGGATAAGACAGAGATATTACTTATTGGACCAAAAGACAGTACACAGAATCTCTTGGATTACAATTTGCAACTAGACGGATGTACTGTTACTTCCTCTACAGTCAAAAATCTGGGTGTTATATTAGATAGCAACTTGTCTTTTGAAAATCATATTTCCCATGTTACAAAAACAGCATTCTTCCATCTTAGAAACATTGCCAAGTTACGAAATATGTTACCTGTTTCTGATGCAGAAAAGCTAGTTCATGCATTCATGACCTCTAGACTGGACTATTGTAATGCACTGCTAGGTGGTTGTCCTGCATCTTCAATAAACAAGCTACAGGTGGTCCAAAATGCAGCGGCTAGAGTCCTTACCAGGTCAAGAAAATATGATCATATTACCCCAATTTTACAGTCTCTGCATTGGCTACCTATTAAGTTCCGTATCAGTTACAAATTATTATTACTTGCCTATAAGGCCCTTAATGGGTTAGCTCTTGCGTACCTAACTAGTCTTCTACCACACTACAATACATCACGCTCCCTAAGGTTGCAAAACTCTGGACTTTTGGTAGTACCTAGGATAGCAAAGTCCTCTAAAGGAGGTAGAGCTTTTTCGCATTTGGCTCCCAAACTCTGGAATAGCCTTCCTGATAATGTTCGGGGTTCAGACACACTCTCTCTGTTTAAATCTAGATTAAAGACACATCTTTTTGGCCAAGCATTCAAATAATGCATCTCATAATTGTGTACTGCAGTTATATCTGATCAAATGCACATTATTATTCTTTAGCTTGGGTTAAACAAATAATTTTTGCTTGGTTGGAACAGCAGCTACATTAATTATGTCTATATTTGTTTCTCCGTTTCTGCCACGGGATTAACATCCCGTGGTAACTAGGATTTACACAAGCTTCAGTCTGGATCCAGAACACCTGAGAAGAGATGATGCCAACCCCTCAGAGGACCTCAGATGATGCCAACCCTGAAACAACATACAGAACTACCCAACTTTGCTATAAGTTTGATTGCATCATATAATAATTGCTGTTAATAGTGTTCATCCTTGAATTTAATTCTATAAAATACATAGACAAAAAGTATAAGATCCCATTAATCAACCCATACATGTGTCCTAACAAACTGCTCTGTTGTTTCTGTGTCTGCAGATACACAAAGCTGAAAACTGCCACCAACATCTACATCTTCAATTTGGCACTGGCTGATGCTCTGGCCACTAGTACACTTCCATTCCAGAGCGCCAAGTATCTAATGAACACCTGGCCCTTTGGAGAGCTTCTTTGTAAAATTGTCATAGCCATTGACTACTATAACATGTTTACCAGTATCTTCACCCTCACTATGATGAGTGTGGACCGTTACATTGCGGTGTGCCACCCTGTGAGAGCACTGGAGTTTCGTACCCCCATCAAGGCCAAAATCATCAATGTGTGCATCTGGATTCTCTCCTCTGCTGTTGGAGTGCCAATTATGATCATGGCAGTTACCAAAGTGACAAACCAAGGTGAATATGTATTTAAAAGCAATATTTTTAGAAAGCAAGTTGTACTTGTTGGAAGATGTGTCTTGATATAACCAAGCAATTAAAATTTAACCATCTTCAAAATCTAATTTAAATGTATTCCATAACAGGTGCAACTGTCTGCATGCTGAAGTTCCCTAATCCAGACTGGTATTGGGACACAGTGACAAAAATTTGTGTGTTTATCTTTGCATTTGTGGTACCAGTGCTAGTCATCACAATCTGCTATGGTCTGATGATCCTACGTTTGAGAAGTGTCCGTATTCTCTCAGGCTCAAAGGAGAAGGACAGAAACATGCGTAGAATCACTCGAATGGTCTTGGTAATAGTGGCTGCCTTCATTATCTGCTGGACACCCATCCACATCTTCATCATTGTCAAAACACTTGTAGACGTCAACCAAAAGAACCCCTTTGTTATTGCCAGCTGGCACCTGTGTATCGCACTTGGCTATACCAACAGCAGCCTCAATCCTGTCCTGTACGCTTTCTTGGATGAGAATTTCAAGAGATGCTTCCGAGACTTCTGCCCACCCTTCCGAACCAGAGTTAACCAGAATAGTCTTAACCGAGCCAGGAATGCTACAAGGGAGCCAGTGTCAGTTTGTGCACCTTCAGAGGCAGGAAAGAAGCCAGTATGACTAGGCCTGGAGAGGATCCCACGGGGGTCCCAGTCCAGAAGAGTTCAGCAGGACCTGCAATCTGAGGTCACTCAAATCTCCACTACTGAATTCTAGGAGCAGAATGGAAGAGCCACTTCCTACGTCTTGGAAAGTATGCAGCTCCACAGTACTCAATACTATCTCAAGTTTTGCATATTCAGAAGGTAACCAGAGAGACTGAGATAAGCAGTTCCTCTCCTGCACCATTTATTACTTTATATTGTGGATTGGCCCTAGTATTCCTTCGGAAGAAATGGTAACACAATGATGAGCCTCTTCTGAGCCCAATATCCAAAACAGGGTAAATTATCAGGGTCTGGTGGACTTTCAGAGTCTGAAATCTTACTGGTTCTGAGGACATAACCTAATTCTGAATGAAGGACCATTCGCTGAAAGTCTGTAAACAATGGATGAATAAATTCCCTGTGAGTGAATAGCTGCTGGTACATCAAAAAATGAAATCCAAGACATGCTACAAAAGCAAATAGTGAAGATGGGTTCCATTTGGAGGAAATTGGCTCAAAAATGAAAAATATTTTCAGCAGTTGATTATATATTTTATTTCCTCTATCTCTCAGAGTTGCGGACAAGCCTTGGGGAAATAGAAAAAAACTAAAACAAACATGGGAAAGTGATGTAAAAACTCTCCTCAAATGTCATAAACCCTAGTGATAGAAACTGTGGGGATGATGGGAAAATATGTCTTGTCCCAGAATAGACTGCTGTCAGATTGGAGAAAACTGGAATGTTATGACATACAGACTAGAGAATACAGGTACATCTCAAAAAATTTGAATATCATGAAAAAGGTCAATATTTTTCGTCACTCATTTCAGAAAGTGAAACCCATATATTATATAGATTCATTTAATATTGATGGATTATTGTCCATTATTGCTTAAGACCAGCTCACGATACCAAACTCTGCATCATCTGTGGCCTCCTCCCCAATTTACTCCATCACTGTAGTCCATGAACAAACTTATTTTCTAATGTTGCCAATCCTTGTTCAATTACAGTGATGAGGTGTACATAACAAACTTCTGAAAACCACCATTTAAGGACATTCCCAATATGGTTTACTTAAAGCAGAAAGTACACCCAACTGAAGAAACGATAAATGGAATAAATGATCCATTAAATGTCACATCAAAATTGCATTAAATTGGCTTGGTTCTACATTTACGTGAAATATTGATCATCTCCAGAAGCAAGGTCAAAATTCACAAGAAGTTTTTCCTCTGACATTCCTGATATATTAAGAAAAATATTATTGTAACACTTTATTTTGATGGTCCCTTTATAACATTTTGTTGACAATAAATAATGTTGCACCTACATGTGTACTAACTCTCATCAGAGTATTAGTAGACTGTTTGCTTAATATATGCTAACTCTTTATTGTCATGGTCTCCCAACAGACATTCTACTGACTATAAGTAACTTTGCAAGTACATGTCAACTTATTCTAACCCTAACCCTACCAGTCTACTAATACTAATACTCTAATGAGAGTTAGTAGACATGTAGGTGCAACGTTACTTATAGTCAACAGAATGTGTTAAAGGGACCATCAAAATAAAGTGAAACCAAAATCTTTGTCATTTTTGGAGCTCAACAGCCCCAGTCCCCATCCACTTCCATTGTATGGAAAACATTATGCTAAACACCTACATCTGTGTTCCATGAAAGAAAATAATAATTAGTACTACACAAGGGTGATTAAATGGTGATAGAAATTCAATTTTTGGGGTGAACTATTCCTTGCATGCTGTGTATTTATCGCAACTCTCGTCCTACAAATCTCTAATTTAAAATTATTTTTAAAATTACATTTCCCACCATGAATGATACATGAGTCTGTCATGTTCACCCTGCGCAGACTGTCTGAATGCCTCATAGATGCTTCATGGGCTCATACTTAATGCAACACCTTACTGAATCTGATTTCTGCACTGGGATACCCCGGAGTGGCTTTCCGTTTGCATATAAAACACCTGGGATTTGGAGTGGCTTTCCGTTTGCATATAAAACACCTGGGATTTGGAGTGGCTTTCCGTTTGCATATAAAACACCTGGGATTTGGAGTGGCTTTCCGTTTGCATATAAAACACCTGGGATTTGAAGTACGCCAGGATGTCTCACAAATTGCTTCACCTCCTCTGAGGAAATGCACTCTAACATGATTATTATTCTAATGAGCTTTGAGTGGGACTTCCATTAGTAAATTCCACTTGTTTGAGTCTCTCGTACTTTGCAATTATGTCTTTCTGGTTGAGCAGGGTTTTTCTGAAGGGAAAATCTCAGTTGTCGTATGTTTTTTCTTTTTAGTTCATTATAAAAATACTTTTGGATTCCGTTTGAATAGGTTTTTATGATAATGCACAAAGATAGATTTCATGATTTAGTGATTCCTCTGTGATTATGAGAAGTACCGCAGCTTAAATTCTGCATAAATTATTGAAATTTTGCTTGAGGAAATTAAGTGTAAGACAAAGTATTTAGTTTGTTCCATGAATAGGGCTGTTTTTGGCTGTAAAAGACTGATTATCTGACAAACAGTTTGCCAGGATAAATTAAAATAATAGTACACTTAAAAAGTATAATGTCATAATTTATTCACACACTTCATTCAAAACCATATATACAGTATTTACAGTAAATGACAATCTCCTAATATTACCAACAAACAAAATCACTGTAAAGGCTATATGACTTCTACTATAGGGCAGTACAGGTGCATCTCAATAAATTAGAATATCATGAAAAAGGTCAATATTTTTTGTCACTCATTTCAGAAAGTGAAACCCATATATTATATAGATTCATTACACATAGAGTGAAATATTTCAAGCCTTTATTTCTTGAAATTTTGATGATTATGGCTTACAGATAATGAAAACCCCAAATTCAGTGTCTCAGAAAATTAGAATATTACATAAGATCAATAAAAAAAGGATATTTTAAACAGAAATGTCAGGCTTCTGAAAAGTATGTTCATTTCTATGCACTCAATACTTGGTTGGGCCTCCTTTTGCATGAATTACTGCATCAATGCGGCGTGGCATGGAGGCAATCAGCCTGTGGCACTGCTCAGGTGTAATGGAAGCCCAGGTTGCTTTGATAGCGGCCTTCAGGTCTGTCTGCATTGTTGGGTCTGGTGTCTCTCATCTTCCTCTTGACAATACCCCATAGATTCTCTATGGGGTTCAGGTCAGGCGAGTTTGCTGGCCAATCAAGCACAGTAACACCATGGTCATTGAACCAGCTTTTGGTACCTTTGGCAGTGTGGGCAGGTGCCAAGTCCTGCTGGAAAATGAAATCAGCATCTCCATAAAGCTTGTCAGCAGGAGGAAGCATGAAGTGCTCTAAAATTTCCTGGTAGATCGCTGCGTTGACTGTGGAGTTCAGAAAACACAGTGGACCAACACCAGCAGATGACATGGCAGCCCAAATCATCACTGACTGTGGAAACTTCACACTGGACTTCAAGCAACATGGTTTCTGTGCCTCTCCACTCTTCCTCCAGACTCTGGGACCTTGATTTCCAAATGAAATGCAAAATTTACTTTCATCTGAAAAGAGGACTTTGGACCACTGAGCAACAGTCCAGTTCTTTTTCTCCACAGCCCAGGTAAGACGCTTCTGACATTGTCTCTGGTTCAGGAGTGACTTGACACGAGTAATGCGACATTTGTAGCCCATGTCTAGGATTCGTCTGTGCGTAGTGGCTCTTGATGCGCTGATGCCAGCCTCAGTCCACTCCTTGTGAAGCTCCCCCAAATTCTTGAATGGATTTTGCCTGACAATCCTCTCAAGGCTGCGGTTATCCCTTTTGCTGGTGCACCTTTTCCTACCACACTTTTTCCTTCCACTCAACTTTCTATGAATATGCTTGGATACAGCACTCTGTGAACAACCAGCTTCTTTAGCAATGAACTTTTGTGGCTTACCCTCCTTGTGGAGGGTGTCAATGACTGTCTTCTGGACATCTGTCAAGTCAGCAGTCTTCCCCATGATTGTGTAGCCTACTGACCCAGACTGAGAGACCATTTAAAGGCTCAGGAAATCTTTGCAAGTGTTTTGAGGTAATTAGCTGATTAGGGTGTGACACCATGACTTTCCAATATTGAACTTTTTCACAATATTCTAATTTTCTGAGACACTGAATTTTGGGTTTTCATTATCTGTAAGCCATAATCATCAAAATTTCAAGAAATAAAGGCTTGAAATATTTCACTCTATGTGTAATGAATCTATATAATATATGGGTTTCACTTTCTGAAATGAGTGACAAAAAATATTGACCTTTTTCATGATATTCAAATTTTTTGAGATGTACCTGTATATGGTTTGAACCTGATCCTAGCAATGTGGAAAAATAAATCATGGAAATAATATTGATGGATTATTATCCATTATTGCTGAAGACCAGCTCACGATACCAAACTCTGCATCATCTGTGGCCTCCTCCCCAATTTACTCCATCACTGTAGTCCATGAACAAACTTATTTTCTAATGTTGCCAATCCTTGTTCAATTACAGTGATGAGGTGTACATAACAAACTTCTGAAAACCACCATTTAAGGACATTCCCAATATGGTTTACTTAAAGCAGAAAGTACACCCAACTGAAGAAACACTCTAAATCACCATTTAGAGTGTTGGAATAAATGATCCATTAAATGTCACATCAAAATTGCATTAAATTGGCTTGGTTCTACATTTACGTGAAATATTGATCATCTCCAGAAGCAAGGTCAAAATTCACAAGAAGTTTTTCCTCTGACATTCCTGATATATTAAGAAAAATATTATTGTAACACTTTATTTTGATGGTCCCTTTATAACATTTTGTTGACAATAAATAATGTTGCACCTACATGTGTACTAACTCTCATCAGAGTATTAGTAGACTGTTTGCTTAATATATGCTAACTCTTTATTGTCATGGTCTCCCAACAGACATTCTACTGACTATAAGTAACTTTGCAAGTACATGTCAACTTATTCTAACCCTAACCCTACCAGTCTACTAATACTAATACTCTAATGAGAGTTAGTAGACATGTAA